CATCTGGTGTTCGGGGAGCGTGCGCCAGTGCCCTGGAAAAGGACCTCCCCACAAACAGGAGCCGGGTCCAATCCTGTCCTGCAGCCCCCAGACTCGCAGCTCCCCCTGCACCTCGCCCCTCTGCTCCACAGCCTCCCAGTGTGTGTGCAAAGGGAGCCATCCTTGAGTCCTTCGCTGAGAGCCCCGGGGCTGCTGGATGAAGCTGACTCTGCAAGTAGAAATGTGGGGTTGGGGGCATGCAGGGCCCAGAGACTCAGCAAGTGAATGGTGCCCGGAAGCAACCTGGGTGCCCGCGTGGGCTGCAGAGACCAGTGCTCGTGGGGCAGGGAGCTGGGGAGCAGCAGGGGCTGCTTCTGCTCCTTGCCTCAGCCTCTGGGGAAACGGCCCTTGCTGGAATTACTTGGCAGGGCTAAAGCAGGATCCCAGCGGAAGGGACGGCGGCTAGACATCCCCTGGGACAGGCCGGTGGGGTGCCCCGCCTGGGCGCAGCGATGGAATACCGGCTTACCAAGGGGCGTGGGGGAGTCGCCATCACGGACCCTTCAGGGATGTTCCCCTAACAACTCTGCTGTGGGATTATTTCAGGGCAGGTCCCTGCTATGCATCTGTGAATTATTGTCATGGCAACAGTGCGGAGCCGAGGGATCCAGTGGGTGCTAGGCCCAGGATTAGAGGCTGAGCCGGGTCTGTGTGTGCAGGCAGGACGCACGTGCACCCAGCCAGCCTCGGGCACGCACACGCATGAGCGGGCACATGCACACAGAGGCACGTGGGCAGGCACGCGGGTGTGCGTACACAGACCGAGGATTTAGGAAGCCGGTTAACTGCTTCCTCAAGGGTTGTATAAACTGGCCCAAAGGGCAGATCGGCTCTTTCACATTGAAAAGTGTCTCCTGCCCCCGATCCCAGCGCCTGGCGGCTGGGGTTCGGCTGTTCTTTTTGCTTTCTTGGCAGCGAAACCAATTGTGACCGGTCCAGTTGTTCTCTCTCGGTCTTTTCCAAATGGGCACCTCTGTGTTTAGCAGGCGACAGGGCCCCAGGCTGGCACCCCCTTGGCCAGGGGATGGGTCCTAGAGCAATTGGCCGGCAGCCGCCTGTCTGTGGTGCGGCAGTGCCCCCCTGTGGGCGATGAGAGCAATGCAGCATCTCCCCACTTCCCTGCTCCCTCCTGGGCTGCATTTGGGGTACTCTGCTCAGCGTCGAGCCCTGGCCTTCAGCTGCTGTTCATGGCCACCGTGGGCCACTGGCTGGGCTGGGGCTGCCCTCCGGGGCCAGCTGGGAAGCCAAGGGGGTGTTGTGTACAGCCAGGGGCACAGCGTCTGGGTCGGGAGGCCTGGTCTGGGACTATTTTTTGCTTCCTCACACAGTGTATCCATGGGCCCTTCCCGTCAGAGGCGGCTCAACCCCTGCTCTGTCTAGACTACACGGGGGTCAGCGCTGCGGGGCTCCCAGCTCTGCCATGGCCGGGCTCCCTGGTGCCGCTCCCTGGTTTTGTCCCCTCTCACTGTCTGGCCCCTGGCCCCGCAAGGGAGACGCTCTGCGTTTGTCGCCTGCCCCCCTAATCTCTCCGCCCCCCACGTTTGTCTCCCCGCAGACGGCACCCCCCTTAGCGAGCTCTCCTGGTCCTCGTCGCTCGCCGTGGTGGCTCTTTCCTTCTCTGGTCTCTTTACCTTCATCTTCCTCATGTTGGCCTGTCTGTGCTGCAAGAAGGGAGACATTGGCTTCAAGGTAAATGCTTCAAAGAGGGTGCCCCAGCCTGGCTGGAGGGGGGGAACGAGGGGAGGGGGTCCCAGCCTGGCTGGGGGAGGGAATGTGGGGAGGGGGTCCTAGCCTGGCTGGAGGGGGGGAACGAGGGGAGAGGGTCCCAGCCTGGCTGGGGGAGGGAATGTGGGGAGGGGGTCCCAGCCTGGCTGGGGCGGGGGGAACGAGGGGAGGGAGTCCCAGCCTGGCTGTGGGAGGGAATGTGGGGAGCGGGTCCCAGCCTGGCTGGAGGGGAGAGGCGATGTTGCTGGGGGTGCTGGTGGGTCTGGTGCCTCGTTAACCCCTGGTCATGGCGTGTGTGCCTGGGCCCGTGGAGACTTGGGGCCCTTCTCCTTGGCCCACACTAACAGGGAGCTGGGCCAGGCCTGGGCAGCTTATCACCACACACCGGCTGTGCCTGGCTCCGGTCGCGTCGCTCTCTGCCCAGGCCTCTGCCCAGGAAATGCCCCTGGTGCCCTGCGGGGTGGGAGGGGCCGTGACCTCCCCGCACAGAATGTGCCCGAGGAACAGTTTTCTCTGTTTGCTGGGATTTTTGTGGAGGCTCGCGGCGCCCGGGCAGGGAGGGGGGGCTTGACCATCCCGCGGAACCTGGGGAGGAACAATGAGGCCACTCAACCCCCCACACTGCCTATATAGGAGCAGGGAGAGCGTTTGCATCCAGCCCGGATGCTGCCCTGTGGCCCAGCAAGTCCCGCCGGGGAGGAGCCCCGAGCGTGGCGCAGCAGCGGGCCCCCAGGCACCATGAGGCTGGTGGCAGCTGGGGCGGGGCAGGGGAGATGCTCGCCGTGTCCTGTCTGATCACGGAGGCAGCTGTCAGGCCCAAAGGGCTGTCTGGGGCACACAGCCAGGTAAAGGGAGGGCGCCCGTGGGCCGCACAGAGAGAGCAGGGCCATGGGGCTGGGACAGGCCTCTGAGGAGGGATGAGAGAGACGTGGGGCAGGCAGAGCCCTCTGGTGACATGGGCGGAGCCTTGGGGGGCTGGAGTCTCTCCCGGCCCCACGTGGGGCTGCCTGGCCCTTAAACTCACGCTGCAGCAGCTCGTGCGTGCCTGGGTCAGGGTTATACATGCCCGCTGGGGTGATGGGCGATCTGGCTACTCCCCTTCCCCGGGGGTCTCCCCGGCCTCTCCACTCTCCAGGGATGGGGCTGCCCCGCTCCCTGCCCCAAAGGCAGCGCTGGGGAGTGGGAGGGCGCTGGTGAGGGCACGGGGCAGAGAACAGCTCTCCTGCCCAGCCCAGCGCTTGGCAGCCAGCCCCGGAGAACATGGGGGGAGGCGGCTGAGATCGCGCCCTGGGGGACTGGGCAGTAACCCTGACGGGGGTGTGCTCCACTCGCTGGATAGGGGTGCTTGCTAACTGGGGGCTTGCAGCTCTAAGGGCTCAGGGCCAGGGCTCTGCATCAGACACGCGGCTGCGTGGGGAGCAGGTGAGCGGGCCTGGCGGAGCCGCCGCTCGGTGTGGGCGCGATAGAAACTGGGTGGCTGGGCAGCCCACAAGGCGTGCCGGGTGCTGTACAAACACACGAGGGGCCCAGGAGGAGCCCACAGCCGGACAGACCCGCCGGGCGTGGGACGTGAGGAAAGGGAGAGAAGCGTGTGAGGCAGGGCGTGCCAGGCTCCTCACGTCTCTTGCAGCGCCGTGGCGTGCTGAGGGGGGGCAGGGAAGCTGTGTGTGTGTGTGGTGGGGGTGCACGGGCGCGCTCAGCTCTGTGTGTTTGTGCTGTGCCCACGTCTGCCCCTGCCGACCCCCTGCCCTCTGCTTTGTGCCCGGGCCAGGAGTTTGAGAATGCCGAGGGAGAAGATTACGTGACCGAGTTCTCGGTGCAGGGCTCCCCGGCCACGCAGAATGGCCCCGAGGTTTACATCCTGCCCCTCACCGAGGTGTCGCTCCCCATGGCCAAGCAGCCAGGGCGCTCAGGTAGGCTGCGCGGCGGAGCGGGGCCGGGCGGCTGCAGCTCCCGAGTGGATTGCAGCTTCGGATCGTGCTGCTCCCTGGGAGCCTGCGTGGCGTCTCCCGGCCAGGACAGCGCTCCCTGTCCTGATCAAGGAGCGGGGCCAGCGCCCGTCATGGTCACTGCTGCCATGTACCCGGTGCTCTGGGGGAGGGAGGCGGAGACTCCGTGACCACGGCCAGCAGCCCCTGCCCGTGGCTGACTCCGAGGACGCTGCCATCGACTGCCTGCAGCCCCCGGCCAGGGGAGCAGAACTGGCTGGGGCTTACTGGGGGCTGTTCTGCCCCGAGCCGCCGGCACGCAGAGCGTTGCCTGGCACCTGCAGAGGGCGCTCTAAGCCCCTGTCTGGGGCGGGATTCCCGCGTCCTGGCCTGTGGCTCAGTGGCACCACCTGGTGGACACACCTGGGATAAAGGGTTGCTTTTGGGGGAGGAACAATGGGGTGCAGGGATCACAGGAGCCCAGAAAAGTGTCCCGGGAGGAGCTGGTCTTGGCCCATTAGCAGGAGGGGCAGCCAGCCCCGGGGGCCCTGTCTCCTGGCCTGCAGCCCCCTCTGACCAGCATCCCTCAGGCCTTTTCTCCAGCACCAGTGCAGGGGAGCAGCCCAGGTTGACCAGCCCCGGTGCTGAGGGGGCTGGGAATAGCGCTCCGGGCCGGGCAGGCTGGGGAAGGGAAGGCCTCTGCCACAGCCCTGCCCTGGCTGGAGGGGGAGCTCGGCCTCTGGGCAGGCAGGTCACAGTGGGCTCCTGTTCTGGGACAGGCCCCTGGAGACACAGGCGCTCTCTGAGCTCATCCCACGGCCCCAGATTCCTTCCCTGGCGCTGCCCCGCGGCCGTGGTAAACAGGCCTGTGAGTGGGAGAGGAATTCTGAGCTCGCCGGGCGGGGCGAGGAGCCAACAAACGCTGCCACAGAGCAGCTGCCCTCACCCCCTGCCCCTCTCCGCTGCTGTGCCGGGTGCTGCCCCAGCTGATCTCACTGGGGCTTGGACAATGGCCCCAGTGTCTGGCGTGGCCGGAGCGGTGCAGGGCGGCGCGATGCTGCCCAACAATGGGCCCATTGCTGCCCCCCCCCGTGGGTCCGGAATGCTGGGATTCCGCCGGGGAGGGAGGGAGCGAGCGCCGGGCGGGAGGAGCATGGGGGCTACATCCCCGATGTCCCGGAGCTGCTGGCTGGGTGGTTGGGCTGGGATGGAGGGCGCCTGCTCGCTCTGACTTCACCCGCCTCCGGTCTGGCTGCGGGTTCCTGGACCTCCCAGCTGGACTGGAGGAGGAGGGGCAGCCCCTCCCCGCTGCCGCCTTGGGGAGAGCTCAGCGGGAAAGGGCTGTTCCCCTGGGGCAGACGGCTCCCAGCCCGTGGTGGGGAACGCCAGTGCGGAGCGGCTCCTGGACATGAAGGGGCCACAACTGGCACCTGCTGCCCGCCTGGGGGCACTAACCGACTCCCCTGGCGTGCAACTCCGCCCAGCGCCGTATCGCAGGGTGTGAGGGGCTGGAGCCTCCCAGGGACAATGATGCCAGGCCGTGCCTGAGCCCACAGCTCTGCCAGCCAGAGCCCAGGAGACAGCGCCGCAGGGCCGATGGATGAACACCATGAGGCTGCGCGGGGCCTGGTGCCGAATGGCAGGAGGGGGCGAGCTGGGCGTGGCTGGGAGACGCGGGTAACCTGGCGGGCAGGCGGAGCTGGGCGCGGCTGGGAGACCCGGGTAACCTGGCGGGCGGGCGGAGCTGGGCGCGGCTGAGAGACGCGGGTAACCTGGCGGGCAGGCGGGTGGGGCAGGCCACCGGGCGCGCTGATGCCCAGCTAGCTGGATGTGCTCTCTTACAGTGCAGCTGCTCAAGTCCACGGATCTGGGGAGGCACAGCCTCCTCTACCTGAAGGAGATCGGCCACGGCTGGTTTGGGAAGGTGAGCACGTCCCTCTCTTGGGGGGGGGCTGTCTGGGGCGGGTGGGCTGTGCCCGGGAAGGGCTCCCTGAGGGACTCCAGCTCAGGCCGGGATTTGCCCTGGCAGCGGGGTTGTGGAGTTACGTTGGGGGGGGGGGCCTAGAGCCCGTGTGGGGCTGAGTGTCTGAGCAGCGGCTACTCCATCTCTTGGCTCCCCAGCCGGGTCGGCTCAGCCTCTCGCCCCCCAAACTGCTGCGCGTGAGCGTTTGGGACCCTCTGTGGCTCTGGCGTTCTTGGCCAGACTGTCCCGTGCGCTGCCCCGGACCGTCCTGGCTGGGGCCGTTGGGCGGGGTGGGGCGGGGAGCCTGGGGAGGTGGGTGCCGGTCTCGGGAGGGGAATGTGCCCCTGCAGGGAGAGGGGTGCCCATCTCTGGGGAAGGGGTGTGCTGGGGGGAGGATGTGGGGATGCAGGAACAGGGAGGGGTGTGGGGCAGCAATGGGGTAGGAAGGGGGTGGGGGGGAGAGGACATGTATGCCCCACACAGGGGGAAGTGGGTTCAGCAACAGGAGCAGGGTGGGAATGTGGGTGCAGAGAGGGGATGTGGGGGTGGGGAGGGGACATGCTGCAGGACGTGGTGCCGTGGGCTCAGGGTGGGAATGTGGATGCAGAGACGGGACGTGGGGGTGGGGAGGGGACGTGCTGCAGGACATGGTGCCGTGGCGCAGGATGGGGACGTGGGCGCAGGTAGGGGACGTGCTGTGGGGTGCAGGGCCGTGGGCGCAGGACGAGGGCGCAGGGCCATGAGGGCAGGCAGGGGATGGGGCGCAGGGCTGCGGGGCGCAGGGCCGAGGGTGCAGGGCTGACGTGCGCTGCCGTCCCTAGGTGTTCCTGGGGGAGGTGAACTCGGGGCTCAGCAGCACCCAGGTGGTGGTGAAGGAACTGAAGGTGAGCGCCAGCGTCCAGGACCAGATGCAGTTCCTGGAGGAAGCCCAGCCGTACAGGTAGGCCAGCACAGCGCCCGCTCTGGCCCCGGTATCTCTGCCATGCAAGGAAAGAGCTCCCTTGCCCCAGGGAAGGGCTCTGGGGATGGCCCCAGTGCTGGGTCCCTCCTGCCAATGTGGAGCCAAAGCCTCTGGCGCTCTGCTCCCAGGGGTGCCTCCCCTCTGCGGCTGAGCCGGCAGCGTGGCACGGAGAGGCCCTTTCCCACACTGGCCATCCCTGAGCCGCCATCTCATGGTCGCTGCCATCCGGGCCTGTCCTCCAGGCTCCGGTCATGGGCAGCACGTTGGGTCTGGGCCTAGATCAGAGCAAACTGATCCCTTCCCAAACCATCGCACGAATCAGCCCGTCTGTGTCTGGCAGGAAACTCAGGGGGCCTAGGCGGGACTGAGGGGCGGGAATCCTGGACTAATCCAGGGGGCTGCGGGTTGGGATGGAGGGGCACTGACAGGGAAGTGTGTCTGGGGGGGCACGGAGGAGCTGGGGGGCGTGGGGTTGGGATTGAGGAGCATTCACAGATCTGGGGGGCAGGGGGGAGCTGGCCTGCAGTAGCTGGGGGGCTGCGGGTTGGGATTGAGGCGCATCGACAGATCTGGGGGGGCTGGGATTGGAGTAGAGTCAACTTTACACTGCAAGATGAACAAACACCCTATTGTTGTGGGTCCTGTTGGGGCGGCTGGCACTTCCCAGTACCCATTTGTTCTCTGCCCGGCCAGGCCTGGCGTGGGGACGGGTCACAGAGAGCTCCTTGCTGCCCCCAGAGACGCATTGTGCGGGCTGGGTGACAAGGAGAAAGCTCTCTGAAAAGGTTTCTTTCTGCTAGCCCAGCCCTGGGCTCCCCACACACAGCTCTGCCGGTGCCCCTCCAGCCCGACCCGCAGCCCCAGGCCAGAGATGACGGGTAAGTTGTCCCAACCCTGCTTCCCCGGTTTGAAATCTCCATGGCTCTCTCCCCTCCCTGCGCAGGGCTCTCCAGCACACGAACCTGCTGCAGTGCCTAGCCCAGTGCGCCGAGGTGACGCCCTACCTGCTGGTCATGGAGTTCTGCCCGCTGGTACGTCGCCTGCTTTAAAACCCTTCGCCCTCTTTGGCCCTCTCCTCCACTTCCCCATGCCGGGCTGGCGCCCTGCGGGTTCCCCCGGGCCCAGCTGCTGCGGCAGGGGCTGAACGGCAAACGCCGTGTCCAGAGCAGGTTATTTCAGGCCCCGCGTTAGCGCGCTGGGTCCCGCTTCCCCCCAGCGTGGGTGAATCTCCACTCCCCACGGCTTCGGGGCTGGCTCATTTCCTGTGCTGAGCCACAGGTTCAAGCGCGGGGGATGCCAGGCGGGGTGGGGACGCCTGCCCCTCATTTGGTAGCAGGGCTAGTGAGTCTCCAGGGAGCGAGAGAACACGGCTGGGGTCTCAGCGAGTGCGGCTCGTTCTGGGGCCCACCTCTGCAGGGCCCTTCACGCCGGCTCACAGCCACAGCAGATCCCTGCAGGCTGTGAATGGGGGTCCGTAGTGTCCGGCGCTGGCAGGCTCCCCGTGCGGCTGGGGCGATGCGGTTCACGCTGGGGAGCCGGGATCGCAGTGGATCTGCCTGCCTGCCGGCATGGGGCAGTCCCAGCCTTGCTGGGTTTTCCAGACCCCTGAGCCCCATGTGGGGAGAGAACCCATGGGGGGTGGGGGTGTTGGTGGGCATGTGCCCCCTGTGCCATGTCCCACTCCCCGGGCAGGTGTTTGGAGATGGCTCAGGCATTGCCTGTGGCTCGTGGACAGGGGACTGGGGAGTATATACACCCCCCTCCCCAAACCGGTTTTGGGCCAGGCCCTCTGCTCTGCTCCAGCTCCTTCCCTGCCCTGACGCCCCCTCGCTCCCCTGATGCACTCAGCTCTGCTCCCGGCTGCTCCCCCCTTTGTGACGGCGCGTGGGGCCCTCGGGGTCTCCCTGGGGAAGGGCGGCGCGGGGCCAGAGTGGGGAGGGGCTCAGAGACCTCGACACCGGCCGGCGGGGCCGTGGCTCAGGGCCGGTGACGGCTGCTGCTCCCGTGACAGGGCGACCTGAAGGGCTACCTGCGGAGCTGCCAGGTGGCCGACTCCATGGCCCCCGACCCGCTCACCCTGCAGAGAATGGCCTGTGAAGTGGCATGCGGCATCCTGCACCTGCACAGGAACCACTACGTGCACAGGTAAGGCTGGGCCGGAGGGGGAGGGGGCACCACAGACACTCCCCTCCCCTGCCTGCTGGGCCCTGAGCATCGCCCGCCCCTGCCACCCGGCACCCATGGCTCCAGAAACCGTGAGCTCCCTGCAGGATATGCACCCTGGGGTGGGAGGAGAGCTAGACACTGGGTGGGGAGGGGGACCAGGGCTGGGGGGGGGCAGGAGTGGGGACTGGGGCTGGGGGACCAGGGGCTGGAAAGGCTTTGTAACTTCCCCAGTACCCGATGCAGCCTCATCCGACCGCCTCCCCATCACCAAGGCTCGGGGCCCCCTCAGGTGCTGTGCCCGGGTTTGCTGGGCCCGTGACACCCCTGGGCCCAGGCTATGAGCAGAGACTGCAGTAAAGGTGCTTCCCATGCTGAAGCCTGGGAGCTGGCGACCCCCCCGCACCCCCCCCGGCACGTGCAGCTAGAGACATGGGCCAAGCAGGAAGAGGGGCTGCCAGTGGGTCTGGCCTGGTGTGGGAGGGTGGGGTGTCCAGTCCCCTGCCTGGCATGTCGGGGGGCAGTGTGCGGGGGGGGGTCCAGCCTAATGGGGGGGGTGGGGACGTGGGGTTGGGGGCATGTCTGGTCCCCAGCCTGGCGTGTGCGCGGACGGGGTCACATGTGGCTTGCCCTATGGCTCCTTTAGCCGGTTTTCCACGCCCACCCGTTGGCTGGGGGCCGAGGGGGTCTCACCCCAGCGTAGCAGCACAGCATGGCATTGCCGCTCGCCCAGGACTCCGGGGTTCCTCTCCTCAACCCTGGTCCACCCACCGCCCTCTGGCTTCTCCTCCCCAACAATATCCTGGTGCTGAGTGAGTTGCACACGGAGACTCCAGCATCAGTGATTTTGTTGAAGAGGGCGAGCGCTGGCTTCTGGGGCCGTCGGATCCTTCTCGCCTGCCACAGCCTGGGCCCTGCGCCGGCGGGTGCTGCACAGAGCCTCGGGCGGGGCCCTGCCTCGCTGCCTCTGCCTCCCAGCGCTGCCCACCGCCCGGCGGGTAACCGGTGCCCTCGGCGCTGCTCTTCAGAGGCTCTGGTAGAGGCAGTTCCTGGGTGCCCAGGGCCTCCCCGTCGCTCTTTCATGCTGGTGAATGGAGCCTGGTGGGTCTCTCCAGGGCAGCAGCAGGGCCAGCTGCCCGGACACCTCCCCTGCCCCTGCGGGAGCGGGGGGTCCCTCGGGGGCCCCTGGGGCAGTTCAGACCCCCTGGCCCACGCACTCCTGGCCTCTCCACTCAGCCGCCAGTCGGCGCAAAGCGCTGCAGCGAGTGTGACGTGAGCTGGGACCCCCCAAATTCATCTCGCACGGGCCACCGTAGCCGTTAGTGGGGACGCCTTTAATCCCGGCCGAGCTGGGCTGAGCTGGGCTCGAACCAGAGCCACCAGCGCCGTTAGTGGGGACGCCTTTAATCCCGGCCGAGCTGGGCTGAGCTGGGCTCGAACCAGAGCCACCAGCGCCGTTAGTGGGGACGCCTTTAATCCCGGCCAAGCTGGGCTCGAACCAGAGCCACCAGCGCTGTTAGTGGGGACGCCTTTAATCCCGGCCGAGCTGGGCTCGAACCAGACACCTGCAGCCTCTGATCCATGTGTGGTGTGCGCCAACTCCCCACGGGGTCCTGCCTGGGTCACACACACACCCCCTCACCCCCCTCCTACACACACATCCTCACCCCCCTACCACACACACACACCCTTGCCCCCCTCCCCCTACACACCCCTCCCTCCCCCCTACACACACACTCTCACTCCCACCCACCCACGCACATATATACATACACCCTCGCTCCCCCTCCCCCATACACGCCCCCCTCCGACCCCTACACACAGACACACACACACACTCTCACCCCATCCCCTACACACACACACACCCTTGCCCCCCTCCCACTACACACACCCCCTCGTCCCCCTCCCCTACACACACACGCACACACCCTTGCCCCCTCCCACTCACACACCCCCTCGTCCCCCTCCCCTACACACACACGCACACACCCTTGCCCC